TTCCCCACTCTCTTCACCTTTTTTTTACTCTCCATATACTTGTCTTCTTATAACATTTGCTTTGAAAAAACCCTCTCAAAAGCTACCTTTTTCTTTTTTTTTCCCCCCCTTTACTTATCTTCCCCCAAATTACTCCTTTTTCCCTTTCCCCTCCCCCCACCCCCTATAACCAAAATTCCCCCCAATTCAAATATGCATTTTTAAAAATTTTCCAACCCCCTTCAACCCCCCCACTACTCATCTTTTCACTAGCCCCCTTTCTGCCAATAGTCGCTTTTATTCGCCCAACTTCTCCTCCCTTAGTTTATACACTTTCCCTCCCCCTTACTTTTTGTTGCCACCCTTCCCCTTTTCCCTCTCCTTTCTCTCTGTAGCTACAATAAATAATGATCCCATTATCAGTTGCCCTCTATAAAATGTAATCTGGAGCCTACCCATCAACCTTTTTTCCACCCAAAACTATTTTAACAAACTATTATTACGGCTACATCATACCTTTTATATTTATTTATCCTCTTTTTCATAAAATTTGTATTATTATTTTCCAAAAATTTCTTTCTACACATAGCTCATTAAAGGCTCCCCATTTACATTTACCCCTGGACCCCAAAATTAACCCACTACTTCCCCCCCTAAAATTTTTAAAACCCTTTAGCATTGAAAAACCCCAACCACCATTACTCTCACACTTGATTCAAAACTCCCCCGCTTCATCAACATTTTCCAGAATCTCCCTCTCCTTCACTTCTCTCTTTCCAGGTGCATAACGCTTACTATAACCCACTTTTCACATCCCAAACTTTATTTTACTCCCATAAACCTTGAAATTTTTCATTTTTTAGTCCCTCTTTTCCTCCATAGCTTTCCTTTAACATTATTGCTACTCCTTCTTTTGCCAACTTATTTGAAACCCCCGACCTAATCCCCTTTATTCCTTCCATTGAAACTCTCCCCCCCCCCTTCGTTTTTTTCACTTAAAGCCAGGACATCCAGTTTCTTCTCTTTAAAAATCCCCAATCATCTCTTTCTTATCATTTGCACAACATCCACGCACATTCAGACTTCCCACTTTGACAATTTTCTTCTTCTTATTCTTTTTAGTATTCTTTACAGGAAAAGGGGTTTACTAGCCCATTGTTCCTGGCATTTTAGTTGACTTTTACAACACGCATGGCTTACGGAGGAAAGATTCTTATTCCACTTCCCCATGGATATAAAAGGAAAATTAATAAGACCAAGAACTATTAAGATAAAATCAAAGAAAACTCAGATGAGTGTGTATAAATAAACGTGTACATGTATGTGTAGTGTGACCTAAGTGTAAGTAGAAGTAGCAAGACGTACCTGTAATCTTGCATATTTATGAGACAGACAAAAGACACCAGCAATCCTACCATCATGTAAAACAATTACAGGCTTACGTTTCACACTCACTTGGCAGGACGGTAGTACCTCCCTGGGTGGTTGCTGTCTACCAACCTACTACCTATATATATATTATATATATATATATATATAATATATATATATATATATATATATATATATATATATATATATATATATATATATATATTCTTCTTTCTTTCAACACACCGGCCGTATCCCACCGAGGCGGGGTGGCCCAAAAGGAAAAACGAAAGTTTCTCCTTTTACATTTAGTAATATATACAGGAGAAGAGGTTACTAGCCCCTTGCTCCCGGCATTTTAGTTGCCTCTTACAACACGCATGGCTTACGGAGGAAGAATTCTGTTCCACTTCCCCATGGAGATAAGAGGAAATAAACAAGAATAAGAACTAGAAAGAAAATAGAAGAAAACCCAGAGGGGTGTGTATATATGTGCTTGTACATGTATGTGTAGTGTGACCTAAGTGTAAGTAGAAGTAGCAAGACGTACCTGAAATCTTGCATGTTCATGAGACAGAAAAAAGGACACCAGCAATCCTACCATCATGTAAAACAATTACAGGCTTACGTTTCACACTCACTTGGCAGGACGGTAGTACCTCCCTGGGTGGTTGCTGTCTACCAACCTACTACCTATATATATATTATATATATATATATATATATATATATATATATATATATATATATATATATATATATATATATATATATATATATATATATATATATATATATATATATTTATTTATTTATTTATTTATTTATTTATTTATTTACACACACACACATATATATATATTTTTTTATTTATTTATTATCACACTGGCCGATTCCCACCAAGGCAGGGTGGCCCGAAAAAGAAAAACTTTCACGATCATTCCTCCATCACTGTCTTGCCAGAAGGGTGCTTTACACTACAGTTTTTAAACTGCAACATTAACACCCCTCCTTCAGAGTGCAGGCACTGTACTTCCCATCTCCAGGACTCAAGTCCGGCCTGCCGGTTTCCCTGAATCCTTTCATAAATGTTACTTTGCTCACACTCCAACAGCACGTCAAGTATTAAAAACCATTTGTCTCCATTCACTCCTATCAAACACGCTCATGCGTGCCTGCTGGAAGTCCAAGCCCCTCGCACACAAAACCTCCTTTACCCCCTCCCTCCAACCTTTCCTAGGCCGACCCCTACCCCGCCTTCCTTCCACTACAGACTGATACACTCTTGAAGTCATTCTGTTTCGCTCCATTCTCTCTACATGTCCGAACCACGTCAACAACCCTTCCTCAGCCCTCTGGACAACAGTTTTGGTAATCCCGCACCTCCTCCTAACTTCCAAACTACGAATTCTCTGCATTATATTCACACCACACATTGCCCTCAGACATGACATCTCCACTGCCTCCAGCCTTCTCCTCGCTGCAACATTCATCACCCACGCTTCACACCCATATAAGAGCGTTGGTAAAACTATACTCTCATCCCATTCCCCTCTTTGCCTAAAGGACAAAGTTCTTTGTCTCCACAGACTCCTAAGTGCCCCACTCACTCTTTTCCCTCATCAATTCTATGATTCACCTCATCTTTCTTGGGACCATCCCTGACACGTCCACTCCCAAATATCTGAATACATTCACCTCCTCCATACTCTCTCCCTCCAATCTGATATCCAATCTTTCATCCCCTAATCTTTTTGTTATCTCATAACCTTACTCTTTCCTGTATTCACCTTTAATTTTCTTCTTTGCACCCCCTACCAAATTCAATCCACCAATCTCTGCAACTTCTCTTCAGAATCTCCAAGGCACAGTGTATCAGCAAAGAGCAGCTGTGACAACTCCCACTTTGTGTGTGATTCTTTATCTTTTAACTCCACGCCTCTTGCCAAGACCCTCGCATTTACTTCTCTTACAACCCCATCTATAAATTATTAAACAACCAGGGGTGACATCCACATCCTTGTCTAAGGCCTACTTTTACTGGGAAAAAATTTCCTCTTTCCTAATACTCTAACTTGAGCCTCACTATCCTCGTAAAAACTCTTTACTGCTTTCAGTAACCTACCTCCTACACCATACCTTGCAACATCTGCCACATTGCCCCCTATCCACCCTGTCATACGCCTTTTCCAAATCCAAAAATTTCCCACAAAGACCTCTTTAGCCTTATCTAAATACTGTCCACTTATATGTTTCACTGTAAACACCGGGTCCACACACCCCCTACCTTTTCCCTAAAGCCTCCTTGTTCATCTGCTATCCTATTCTCCGTCTTACTCTTAATTCTTTCAATTATAACTCTACCATAAACTTTAAACCCGGTATACCATAACAGACTTTATCCCCCTATAATTTTTGCACTCTCTTTTTTCCCTTTGCCTTTATACAAAGGAAACTATGCATGCTCTCTGCCCTTCCCTAGGTACCTTACCCTCTTTTCCCTACATTTATTAAATAATTGCACCAAACACTCCAAAACTATATCCCCACCTGCCCTTTTAACATTTCTATCTTTATCCCATCAATCCTGGCTGCCTTACCCCCCTTTTTATTTTACGTACTGCCTCATGAACTTCCCCCACACTCACAACTGGCTCTTCCTCACTCCCACAAGATGTTATTCCTCCTTGCCCTATACACGAAATCACAGCTTCCCTATCTTCATCAACATTTAACAATTCCTCAAAATATTCCCTCCATCTTCCCAATACCCCTAACTCTCCATTTAATAACTCTCCTCTCCTATTTTTAACTGACAAATCCATTTATTCTCTAGGCTTTCTTAACTTGTTAATCTCACTCCAAAACTTTTTCTTATTTTCAACAAAATTTGTTGATAACATCTCACCCACTCTCTCATTTGCTCTCTTTTTACATTGCTTCACCACTCTCTTAACATCTCTCTTTTTCCCCCATATACTCTTCCCTCCTTTCATCACTTCTACTTTTGTAAAAAAATTCTCATATGCTAACTTTTTCTCCCTTACTACTCTCTTTACATCATCATTCCCAATCGCTCCTCTTCCCTCCTGCACCCACTTTCCTGTAACCACAAACTTCTGCTGAACACTCTAACACTACATTTTTAAACCTACCCCATACCTCTTTGACCCATTGCCTATGCTCTCATTAGCCCATCTATCCTCCAATAGCTGTTTATATCTTACCCTAACTGCCTCCTCTTTTAGTTTATAAATCTTCACCTCTCTCTTCACTGATGCTTCTATTCTCCTTGTATCCCATCTACCTTTTACTCTCAGTGTAGCTACAACTAGAAAGTGATCTGATATATCTGTGGCCCCTCTATAAACATGTACATCCTGAAGTCTACTCAACAGTCTTTTATCTACCAATACATAATCCAACAAACTACTGTCATTTCGCCCTACATCATATCTTGTATACTTATTTATCCTCTTTTTCTTAAAATATGTATTACCTATAACTAAACCCCTTTCTATACAAATATTAATATTAATGTGTGAGAGGTGAGTGGCAGGGTGTTTATTGAATAAAATCAGAATGGCACACCATCATCCTCTAACTTGGCACTTAAAGCAAGAGGCTTACGACTTCTCTTTTTATTACAGCTAACCTTAGACGCCATCGTCAATGAGAGCCAACTAGTTAACAAAAGAGTAAACGAGAGAGAGAACGAGATACAGAGTTGAGACAATGTAAGAACACAAACTGAACAGGTAGTGGACGATCACTTGGTCAGGCAAATTAAATGTGTATTAATATGTGTCTACTTTTAGTTCATTCACGTCCATTTGTAAGAGTTTGTAAAACATTTACCTCAATGTTTTTTTATTATAATAATTACCTCACAATACAAATACTCTTACATTGTGTACAAGTTGTACAAGTTAGTTCAGAATAAACAAACAGCAACATACCATTTTTAGAGTGAATGAAGATAATAATAATAATAATTATAATAATAATAATAATAATAATAATAATAATATTATTATTATTCTTAATATTAATAATAATAATATTATTATTAATATTAATAATAATATTATTATTATTATTTATTATAAAAAGCACTAAACCCACAAGGGTCGTGAATTGCTATATATAGAGTAAAGGCATACGAAAAGAATATTTTTCTACATTTATCCCCCAGTTTGACTAGAGAAAACGTAATTCTTCCGACACTACCTACACAGCTGCTTTGTAAACAAGTTTCATATTTACATCAATTTTTATTCTGTGAGTGTATGTATCATGTTTATATGCTATGTAACAGGTTTCATATATAATTTTGAGGAAAATATCATAGATGGATTAATGAAAATACCTATATTGATGTAAAATAAGACATTTAGTGTGCCCAAGAGTGATTATTATTACGTAGTATTGGCATCATGAGTAGAGAGAGACTTAGTGATTTTAATATGTACCTGCACACCAGCACAGTGTGTAAGTATATTTAGGTACAGGTACACATAAGTATAATTATCAGAGTACATATAAAATACGCAGTAACTTTAAAACACTTGAAATTTTGGAAAGTTTCCTGACATAATAGATGTGGTCATGGAAAATGTATTTGAAAGACCACTTGCCGTATAGCAAATTTTGGTCATAATTTGACATCGCCGTATTAGCGGAACACCGTAAGGCGAAGTGCCGTAAAGTGGGGCCTTACTGTATATATATACACCTACCATCTGACTTACGACCTGCTCGACTTACGACCACTCGACTTACGACCGTGTTTTACTTACGACCACTCAACTTACGACCGTGTTTTTTATGCCAAATTTCTGGGAAATAAACAACTATTTATGTTGTACACAGTGTTTATCCTAAACCTTACAGTATAAAATACAGTACTAACAGCATAAAAAGTAAAGTAAAACATGAAATACCAAAATAAAACAATAAAATAAAGTCATTACAAAAATGTTATGTTGATATTCAGTAGTAAAGTTCGACTTACGACCATTTCGACTTAGGGCCGGTTTCTCGGAACCGAACTCGGTCGTAAGTCGGATGTTAGGTGTATTAGCAGAAAGGTGGACTGGTGCAAGTATGAGTAGTGGGGGGGGGGGGGTTGAAGAGGGTTGGAATAGTTTTAAAAATGCAGTATTAGAATGTGGGGCAGAAGTTTGTGGTTATAGGAGGGTGGGTGCAGGAGGAAAGAGGAGTGATTGGTGGAATGATGAAGTAAAGGTTGTGATAAAAGAGAAAAAGTTAGCTTATGAGAGGTTTCTACAAAGCAAAAGTGTTATAAGAAGAGTAGAGTATATGGAGAGTAAAAGAAAGGTGAAGAGAGTGGTGAGAGAGTGCAAAAGGAGAGCAGATGATAGAGTGGGAGAGGCACTGTCAAGAAATTTTAATGAAAATAAGAAAAAATTTTGGAGTGAGTTAAACAAGTTCTGTCTCCAGAACTTGTTTAAGACACTTGTTTGGAGACAAAGAACTCTGCCCTTGGAGGCAAAGAGGGGAATGTATGAGAGTATAGTTTTACCAATGCTTTTATTTGGGTGTGAAGCATGGGTGGTGAATGTTGCAGCGAGGAGAAGGCTGGAGGCAGTGGAGATGTCATGTCTGAGGGCAATGTGTGGTGTGAATATAATGCAGAGAATACGTAGTTTGGAAGGTAGGAGGAGGTGCGGGATTGCCAAAACTGTTGTCCAGAGGGCTGAGGAAGGGTTGTTGAGGTGGTTCGGACATGTGGAGAGAATGGAGCGAAACAATAACTTCAAGAGTGTATTAGTCTGTAGTGGAAGGAAGGCTGGGTAGGGGTCGGCCTAGGAAAGGTTGGAGGGAGGGGGTAAAGGAGGTTTTGTGTGCGAGGGGCTTGGACTTCCAGCAGGCATGCGTGAGCGTGTTTGATAGGAGTGAATGGAGACAAATGGTTTTTAATACTTGACGTGCTGTTGGAGTGTGAGCAGGGTAACATTTATGAAGGGGTTCAGGGAAACCGGCAGGCCGGACTTGAGTCCTGGAGATGGGAAGTACAGTGCCTGCACTCTGAAGGAGGGGTGTCAATGTTGCAGTTTAAAAACTGTAGTGTAAAGCACCCTTCTGGCAAGACAGTGATGGAGTGAATGATGGTGAAAGTTTTTCTTTTTCGGGCCAACCTGCTTTGGTGGGAATCGGCCAGTGTGATAATAATAAAAAATAATAAAAAGCAACTATTGGCAAAAAGGTGGGCTAGTGAGAGTATAAGTAGTGTGGGGGTTGAAGAGGGGTGTGATAGTTTTAAAAATGCAGTGATAGAATGCAGAGCAGAAGTTTGTGGCTATAGGAGGGTGGGTGCAAGAGGAAAAAGGAGTGATTGTTGGAATGATGAGGTAAAGGGTGTGATAAAAAAGAAAAAGGTCATTTATGAGAGATTTTTACAAAGCAGAAGTAATATGAGAAGGGTGGAGTACAGTGGAACCTCAAAAATCGAACTTATCACATATTGAACGTTTTGAAAATAAGACCATTTTTTCGGACAAACTGTGTCCGTATTATCGAACGCGCTCCTATTTTCGGACCGCTGGGTATGGGACCTGTCTGCCACCCGCTCTGTCCGTGTCCCCACGCAGGCGCCGTGAGCAGCCTAGCTTTGTTTATGCTTGAGTGAACACTAACCTGCGCGCTCATTCACGCATTTTACGATTATTTCGTTGTGTTTAGTGCTTGTGGGACTGTGAAATAAGCTGCCATGGTCCCAAAGAAACTTGCTAGTGGTTCTCCTGTGGTAAAGAAAGTGAGAAACACCATAGATGTGAAGAAGGAAATAATACAGAAGTATGAGAGTGGTGTGAGACTAGTTGAGCTTGCCAGGATGTATGGAAAAAACAAGTCAACCATCGGTTCTATCCTGTCAAAGAAAGAACAAATCAAGGAAGCTGATGTTGCGAAAGGTGTTAATATAGGGAGTGGATGAGGTGCCTTCTTCAAAGATTAAGGAGATTTGTGCCAAGTGGAATGATGTCCAAATGTTTGTGCAGAAGTACCACCCTGAGCAAGCTGAAACAAGCCATCTTTGCAACAAGTTCAGTGACAGAATCATGTCCCATTTTAGGGAAATGTTAAAGAGGTGCCAGAAACAGAGGACTGTGGACAGTTATTATGTGAGACAGGGGTCCAGTGACTCTCAAGCTGGTTCTAGTGGCATTAAAAGACAGAGAAGGGAAGTAACCCCAGAGAGGGCTTTACCTGAAGTCTTCATGGAGGGGGATTCTCCTTCCAAACACTAGCCCCAACTCCCTCTCTCCTCCTCCCTATCTTCCAGATGCCATCACCAATCTTCAATAAAGGTAAGTAAAAATGTTATTTTATATGTATTACTATACATAATTAAAAACTATAGTATTTGTTGTATGTAAAACTGTAATTAATCTCTAAAAAAATGTATTTTTTGTGTTTATATTTTTGGGTTTCTGGAACGGATTAATTGTATTTCCATCATTTCTTATGGGAAATATTGCTTCGAATTTCAGACTTTTCGAATTTAGAACTAGCTCCTGGAATGGATTAAGTTCGATTTTTGAGGTTCAACTGTATATTGAGAATTAACCCCTTGACTGTCGCAACCCCAAATCCTGAGGTGTCTTCTGGTGTCGAAAAATTTTTGAAAAAAAAAGAAAATTTCTTATGAAATGATAGAGAATCTTTTCCCGATGGTAATGACACCAAAAGAACAAAATTTGAATGAAAACTTATGGAATTACGCTCTCGCGAAGTTAGCAACCTCGGCGATATTTACAAATCGGCAATTTCGCCCAATTTGAGCCCTATTTTCAGCTAATTCCATTGTTCCAGTCGACCAAACTCATAGCTATTTCTTTAGAACTCCTTTTGTTCTATCGATTGAGCACAAGAAACTGAGCATTTACCAATTACAACTACCCAGTAATGTGGTCAGAATTTTGCAATTTGGCCAATTTTATGCAAATTAAAAAATGTGCCAATTTCAAAATAGGGTCCAGAATGAACAATGCAGACATTCCTAGCACTAAAATAACATTTTTCTTTGTTCATCAGTCACATATCCAGGCCCTCTGATATTACTCTTGCTTTCTATTTTGAATTTTTATTCAAACAAAATATAGAAGATTTACTGTTATTCAGACTGCTGCAATATTGTAATAATTGTATAAATAATGTCAACCCTTTCATGACTACATATTAGAATGGCTAGTTGGATATTTACTGGACAATGATATGATTTGTTTACTTTTGAACATCGGGAAAAATCAAACATTTTCCCTACTTTGAGCTCCATTTCAAGGTTCTTTTCATAGTAAAACCAATCAAAATCACCTCTACTTCTATAATATGGTTTCCATTCTATCATATGAGACCAAGAAAATGAGAATACAACCATAAATACTATATAAAAATACACCACAAAGTCGGTGTTTTAATTCAAAAACACGGTCGGAGTTTTTTTTCTCATGCACTGCGTGCTGCAGGATTTTTTTTATATGGTGCACACTGACCACACAGACCCATTCTCTCACATGTGGGCCTTCCAGCTTTCTCCTGCTCGATTTGACGCCGCTAGAATTTTTGAGTATATACGTCAAACACGGTGCTCGTAAGACCTATATATGTGGCTGAAACGTCAAAGAGTTAAAGAAATGTGAAAAGAGTGGTGAGACAGTGCAAAAGGAGAGCAAATAATAGAGTGGGTGAGGCACTGTCAACAAATTTTGCTGAGAATAAGAAAACTTTTTGGAGTGAGATAAACAGGCTAAGAAAGTATAGG